AAGGCTGTGCTGCCATCCAGCGAGATCTGGAGAGTTGGGCACAGAGGAAGCTGGTGAAGTTCAATAAGGGCAAGTGTAGGGTCCTGCACCTGGGGAGGAATAACCCCAGGCACCAGTACAGGTTGGGGGTTGAGCTGCTGGAAAGGAGCCCTGCAGAGAAGGACTTGGGAGTACTGGTGGATGACCAGTTGACCATGAGCCAGCAATGTGGCCTTGTGGCCAAGAAGGCTGTTGGTATTTTGGGGTGCATTAAGAAGGCTGTGACCAGCAAGTCGAGGGAAGTTCTCCTCCCTCTTTACTGTGCCCTAGTGAGGCCACATCTCTAGTACTGTGTCTGACTCTGGGCTCCTCAGTTCAAGAGAGACCAGGAACTCCTGGAGAAAGTCTAGTGGGGGGCTACAAAGATGATTAGGGGACTGGAGGAACAAAATGTTATATAGATATTTTAAAATCACAACAGGTCCATCTTGGGGACCTTATTAATTTGTATAAATATCTAAAGGGCGGGTGTCAAGAGGATGGGGTCAGACGCTTTTCAGTGGTGGCCAGAGACAAGGAGACAACAGGCACAAGCTGGAACACAGGAGGTTCCACTTAAACATGAGGAAAAACTTCTTTACTGCAAGGGTGCCAGAGCACTGGGACAGACTGCCCATGGAGGTTGTGGAGTCTCCTTCTCTGAAGATGTTCAAAATCCACCTGGATGCTCTCCTGTGCAACTTGCTCTAGGTAAACCTGCTTTGGCAGGGGGGTTGGACTAGATGATCTCCAGAGGTCTCTTCCAACCCCTACCATTCTGTGATTCTGTGGCAAATGGTACCTCTCAGCCTTTAAAACCCATAAGACATTGTACACAAGAGCAATCCCTGCCCTGAACCACACCACCTCCAGCCATGTCTTTGGTACCCAGCAATTGACCACAGCTAAGTATGTCCAAAACTATCTTTGTGTTCTCCTGTTGGCGTCCCCCTTTTTGCCTACCAAACCCCTTCAAAATGAGGCTGACACAACATCTGCTCAGAGTGCTGTCTTTTATTTCAGAAGAGGCCCAAGGAGCTGCTGGCACATGGTTAACAGGACAGACCTAAGGCCAACGGGGAGGAGGAATGTGGCAGAGGAACATCTGTGCCCGAGTGCTGCTCCCTACTGCAGCTCAGCAAAAAAAAGGTAGCATTTGTGTGCTGTTTCGATCCTCATTACGCTGTTTGGTCCCAGGGAGTAGGTCACCTCATCCTCGCTCACCTCCGATGGCAGGATGATTTCCTTCGTCATGTTTTTGTAGTTATACTCCTTCCCTCTTGCTGTAGCGTGCTCTTCCTCGTGCTCTGCTGACACCTTCACCTTCCTGTCTTTCACCGTTACAGTGACTTCTTTGGGGTCAAAACCCTTCACATCCACCAAAGCCAAAAGCCTGTGATCATGGTAAGAGTTCAATATCCAGTTATGTCTTCTTTCCACGCTGGAATGAAAACAAGGACAGCCTTTCAGTCCATCTCATAGAGGAATGGGTGGACCACCTTAAGGACAAGAGAAGTAAATAGGAAACTATTGGATCTATCTTCATGCTGATGCACAAGCACTTGGGATGGTGTCTGCACCATCAGAAGGAGCTCCCACCTGCATGCCACAGCAGTCAAGAGAATTTCAGCGTCTCCTCTTGGGATGGGGCACTTGTGGAGCTGAAAAGTTCTTTCACCTAAACACAGAGAAGCCAGTGCTCCTCTGTCACATGTACATATGTCCACAAAGCCACATGTGTCTATCTTACACCTCGCCCTACATTTTAAAGGCATAGTTACAATAGATCACTTTGTCCAGTTAGGAGTTTTGTTTAAAGTAACCAGTGAACAGGAGATGCATCTGGCAAAAAAACCCAAAATGCTTCTGCAGAGCTGGGCTGGAGGCTCACTGAGCCACTAAAATGATTTCTAACACTGTCAAACAGCCACTCTGCTCAATCAGAAGGCTGTCTCTTTTTCAAACCATCGGTAAAGTAGACAATGGAAGGGTCACCTCAGTTATAATAGCAAAATTGGACAAAAGGCACCAAATTAAAAAGAGAAAGGGTGTGATGGAAGAGGAAACAGGGCAAGCGATGAGGGAACCGGCATGACCACTAAGGTGAGAAATCCTTAACAAGTGGTTTATTAGCAAGATAGATACACCCATTTCAGCAATCCTACTTAAAGCCTGCAAGGATTCAACCTGGTGTGGTGATTTTGGGATGTGTTTCTGTGTGAGCTGGTTCTTCCACCTGCCTCTTTGGTCTTTCTATAATGCTGGTTGGAGGAGAAGAAATGTGCTGAGAAGAGTTGGTTCTTCACAGCATTTTTTGTGGGAAGTGGATGGCCGAATTCCCTGGCATGATGGGCTGAAATTCTGCTGTGATGTGGTATCAGATGGCAGTGGTGTGGACTCATGTTCAAACCAACAAGTTATCCCAAGCATGGCAGTGCTGGGGGGCCTGGCACTCAGGGAGATTGAGCCCCAGCATCCCATGGCCCATCCTGAGACCCCCCCCAGCTTCCATTCAGAATGAATTTCAATTCCTTCACTGGCATTTTGGTGTGAAATGATTCTGCAAGAGGATGCTGCACCTGCCCAGCTCTGGTACCCAATGCAATGATGAAAATCTGGACGCAGCCACCAGTCCTGTGACACCTGAAATCTGCTACTCCACAGCTCTGTGTCAGCTGCAGCTATCGGGTAACTTTAAGTAACCCCACAGCAACTTTTGTTTTTGCTGAAGTCAGTGTAAAATTAACCCAGAGGTCAGGCTTTTTTCCTTTTTCCTCTAGTCTTATTGCACCCAGTAGATAACACACGTGGCCGACTGTGGGGTGATACCTGCTGCTCTATGGGTAACAAAAATGTCACATTTTTAATTGCCAGGATGAAGGTCTCATCACCTCCAGGTGCAACACAAGAGAACTTAAACAGAAGCTAGAGTTTGGAGGGAAAATACCAACACCATAAATGCAGCAAGAGCTTCTCACTGCTGCTGATGACCAAGGGACTTCTTAGCCCTTCCAGCCTCTCAATATTTGGCTGTGCCTTAACCCAAATGGTACGGTTTTATCATTCAATAACTCCCTTCCTGTAGGGCTACCTTTGGGTTTTACCTCTACCAGTGTCAGTCTTGAACTCCAGTAACAAAATAAAATCATCACACCAGTAGTCAAAAGGGAGATGTAGAAATCATGACACTTATTCTTTCTACTGTACAAGGTGGGAAAATAGGGACATGTCTGCTGCACTCCACCACATAGAGGCACATATTGGCTACTGATGAAGATAATGACATGTTAAACAGACTTAAACTGAATTTACTTTGAAGGTGGACTTTGTTCCATAGCTGAACAGCTTTGGATCCAGTACTTTACTTTAGAAACAGTTTGCGAGATGGTTAACGTCACAAAGCCATGGTCCAAACCCTTTCTGGCACAGGTGCTGCCTGCGTGGCTCCTCTCGGGCTGCCTGGCTGAACAAGCCATGCCTTCCCATTTCCCTTTCAACTAATTTCTCAGAAAATGGCTATTTCTGTCCTGCTTATCTGTTTCCACCTTTGCTCCTGATACCGATGCCAAACCTCCCTCCATACTGCCTTAAAGAGTGTCAATGCCAGCAGATAGCAGGCGAATATCTGTTACCTGTCCAGTTCTGGTTCCACATCCAGCCTTGGGGTGAGGGCCCTTCTCCCCCAGGGGCACAGGGCCAGGCTGCACAGGCAGGTCGTAGATAGATCCTCCCGGAGCTGCTGCAGGTGCAGGTCCAGCAGTCTCATCTGCCTCCGCATCTCTCTCTCCACCTGCCTCAAATCCCGCTCGGCATCTTCCAAAAGGTGGTTGTGCAACGACATCATCACACTGCAAAGTGCATCGGGGCACGAGTGTGGCCTCAGCAGCCTGCACTCGTGGGGGAAAAAAAATTGCCTTGAGAGCTTCCTCCAGAGGTGAGTATGTAAGCAGAGCCACCGGTGCTCCTGCAGCCTTCCAGTGGGCACCTTATGACATCATGGGCCTGCTGACACGTCACAGCTCCACAGTCACCATGGGAAGTGCAGCCCGGGTCCATTCACAACTGCATCCTTCCGCTGCAGCTCCCACCCGCCTACCAGGGGAGCCCATGGCAGGGGGACATGCTGGGGGGCTTGGGGCATGGTGGGGGTGCAAGTGCAATGTCCAGGCAGCAGGGCCATGGGCCATCAGGGGCACAACTTGGGTGCGGCTTCATGCACAACGTTGCTTCAGCGAGTTTGTGATGCTGTCCCCCTCTCTTGCCCTGGCACACCTGCGAGAGGGAACGCAAGCCACCCCTCTCCACTCCCAGGCAGAAATCCCCATGGACAAAGCCCAGGTGTCCACTCAAGCTTTTAAGCATGGTCTCCTCTTTAAACTCATGGGGATTCCCATTCCCAGGTTCTGACCACCTCTGCCTTGGGAGAAGGGAAACATGCAGTGGGCTGCTGCTGACCTGCTGCAAAACTGCAGCCCCTGCAGCCTTCCTGCTCCTCGCTGTTTTGCTGCTGTTTACCACAGCCCTAAAGAATATGTGTCACTTAAGGAGAACTGCAATTGCTCTTCATGTTTTTTCCTTCTTTTGCAAGTGTTTTGCACAAGGTGTTGGATGTGCGATGCCTACACACATTTTTCGCTGACACACAGCATGGTGTTAGGCAAAGGCTACCAGAAGCCTTGGACTGAACATGTGTCAGGCTGGTCTGCAGGGCACGGGCACCCCCAGGAGCACCCCCAGCCCCCCAGTGAGTGCCAGGGAAAGGTGAGGTGCTCATGGCAACTCCCACACAGCTTCTTCCTGGTGGTGCACCTATCTCCTCATCCTGCTGGCTCTCTTCTCCTGGGGTTTTCTCCAGCAGCTAAAAGTTTCAGGTGTGACTTCAAACCCACTGCTCCCATCAGCAACTTCTCCCTCTGCCTGTTAGCTATCTGCATTTTTTTTTAAAAAATGGAAAAGACATGACAAATGGTTAAAAATGTGCAGAAATGGGAGGTTCTCTTTACATCCCTTACTGACAGCTGCAGTTGAGGGAACACTTTGAGAACATGCACCTTCAGATGTGCTTTCATGCCATATTAAGCAAACAAGGTGCTGAGAAAAAGCAGACCCAGGTATTTGCTTCCCTCCCTTACAGACATTACTCTACAGCTTTCATCTGCCCATGCATCAGAACAAGGAGGTGCTGTCTTGGCAAGAGTGGGTGACATGAGGATTTCAGTTGATGGAAGACAGCAAAAAGGATGCTGCATCCCACAATTACTTTACAGAGAAGGAGATGGCACACGTGCCCCACACACTCAGGGCTCTGCTGCAAGTGCTTATCTGAGCTGACAGTTTTACCTTTGCAGATCCTGCGTGTGCTGGGATCTGTTTCCTGCTCACTCAGTGAGCTTGGGCAGGGAAGCTGCAGTCATCACCTCCTGCCTTGAGGACTTCTGAAATCATCGTGTCCTGTCAGGCTGTTGCATCAGTTTTTCCTGAGAATGAATCATAGAATCATAGAATGCTTCGGGTTGGAAGGGACCTTTAGAGGTCATCTAGTCTAACTCCCCTGCAGTGAGCAGGGACATCTTCAACCAGATCAGGCTGCTCAGAGCCCCATCCAACCAGACCTTGAATGTTTCCAGGGATGGGGCTTCTACCAACTCTCTGGGCAACCTGTTCCAGTGTTTCACCACCCTCATTGTAAAAAATTTCTTCCTTACATCTAGTCTAAATCTACCCTCTTTTAGTTTAAAACCATCACCCCTTGTCCTATTGCTATAGGCCCTGATAAAAAGTCCCTCCCCAGCTTCCTTATAGGACCCTTCAGGAACTGGAAGGCTGCAATAAGGTCTCCCCAGAGCCTTCTCTTCTCCAGGCTGAACAGCCCCAACTCTCTCAGCCTTTTCTCATAGAAGAGGTGTTCCACCCCTCTGATCATTTTTGTGGTCCTCCTCTGGACCTGCTACAGCAGGTCCATGTCTTTCCTGTGCTGAGGGATGGGTTTCAGTGTCAGCGATGCTCGTGGCATGGATGGATTTGCCTGGCTCCTGGAAAGGTGCCTGTGGTGTACTTTAATCACAAGCAGCATTGACATCAAAGTCTCTGGGGTCTAATACTGCTAGAAAAACTGAGAGAAGACTACAGGAGTGGGCAATGCTTCATGTTTCAGTGAAATCTGGTCGTTAAGAACTTGCAATGGATCAGTATCAGTAGGAATGCATAGTCCTTGTGTATTTAAGAGAGCAGGAGAAGACCCCTCGGGAGCTTTGGAGCTGCTGTACCCTGCTGGTACCCTCCCCTAGAGGAAGTACCTTTTGCAATTATTAGCTGTATCCAAAAGCCTAAGTAGCCCCAGACAAGAACATTTCCCCTGCAGCCTCCAAGGAGGCACAGCCGAGCTGGCCCCAGGGCTGCTCCCGCGGGGCTGCCTGCTGACCGCCGGGAGGGAGCTGGACCTGCTGGCAGCTAAGCGGGGAGTGCAAAAGGGGAACCCAAGAACAACAAAGGGGAGTGGGTCACATCTCAGGTTGGACAAAAATGCGTGAGGCTTCCTGTTGGACATTGCTGACATTCAAACACTGGTGTACCATATGCAAGAATAAATTAAAACATTCAAATAACTTTATACACCTGATTACATTTACATATACCAGCAAGGAAAAACCTTTGTTAAAAGCCAAATGCTTAATACATACTTACAAAGCAAAACTTCTTCACAACTCCCACTTGCCAGTAATGATACTCACCATCAGCCTCTGTCCCATCATCTCTGATAAGTGCTGTAGCCCAAGACAGGAGGAACCATATGACCTCAGACTGGCCTGTGACACAAAACCTAATCCCAGTCTCGGCAGCACCAAAACCCTTGTCCCTCAGGCATCTGCAAACTGGTGAGCTGGATGATGTGTTATTTTCCCAAAGTGAAATATGAGTTTGGCTTTTCAATAAATCAAGAAAGCCAGCTTATATTATATTGAATGGTAGCTGCATCCAGAAAAAAAAAAATGCTTTATGCTTTATCACTCAGAGAAGTCATCACTTTTTCAGTCTGAAGACAAATCTTTTCTTCAAAAGCTGAATTCAAAGGCTGCCAACGTGTGTAGTGTCCCTCCTGTATGAAGTCTGTATACCTTTCTGATGGCAGTATTTTGTCTTTAAAACTCGTAACACTCTCTAGTCTCTTTGGCTTCACATGAAAGAGTCTTTCAGGAAGTCTCTCTTGCATGGTGAGAATCTGAATCCTTTATTTCACAGAGGAAGTTTTGTTTGCCAAGTCCCATCTGAAGAGACGAACACTCGAACTGAGCATCAAGCTGAATCTTCCTGTCAGAGTCCTGGGGGTACAGACTGAAGGAGCTGTTATGAAGCAAAGATGCCAAACACAAAGATGTGTGTCAAAATAAAATTTCTGCAGGAAAAGCCACAGCTTGAAAATGATTTAAAGTTAAACCCCTCTGCTGCATGGAATCAGAGGGTCTGAGGATTCACCATGTGCCTCGCAGGACAGCGGGGAGGGTCTGCAGGCAGGGGTGCCCGTGGGTTGCTGCCTCCTTCGGGATGCATTTTTATGCCAGGGATGTGAGCTTTTCCCCACAGGCATGCTCACCCAGGGAGTTTGTTCCCAGATCTGGAGAGCATTAGCAAGGCCTACAGCCTTGAGCACTGAGCAGAGGGACCTGCACGCACCCTGGATCATTTCCAGGGCATCACCACACATCCTACGCAGGACAAATAGGTGCCTGTGGACACCAATCAGCCAAGTAGAGATTTGCTGAGCTGCTGCTCTCCTCCTCTGCCTCCTTTCCCATCCCACCATCCCGGGCTGAAGCGCAGCGTGCAGTGCTGCTCCTGGTGCGGTGGCTCCACTTTGGGAGCAGCGCCTGCTTTTCCTCACCTGACCATGTCCCAGAACCTCCTGGGAAATCCTGCAGTAGGACGAAACGCCATGCCAGTGAGTGGCCTCTGTGAAATCAGTTAACTCAGGGGTGGCAACGCTGGTTTACAAAGTTTTCCGGCAACACCCGTGCACGGAGCTGCTCGCCCCCGAGGGCACTGTCACACCAACTGCCCATCTTCACTTACATTTTCAATCAGTGTTCAAAAATCTATCTGCAGGCAGAACATTTTCTTAATGCCCTGACAGCTGGGCTGTAGTTTTTAAACCAAAAGGAAATACACAGCTCTGAGAGTAATTTGTAGCCTTGTTTCCCTTTACTGCAGCAGCTAAGCAAGAATCGTATGCTGGCAGCGTGCTTTTTTTCATGCCTCTATTGCTGCTTGTAGTTAAAGCCCCAAACTTCAAACCTTTGGTCTTCTCCGTGCAAACCATTCACTTTGCACTTATAAAGCATGGATGAGTGGCTACACTAGATAACTTAGTAGCTATTTTTCATCTTATTTTTTACCATCTTTCTATAAAGATCTACATAGTGATAATACTTATGGTGACTTCCTAAGGGACGAGCAGAAGTGTGAGCCAGCTTTGGCTGTGACAAGTGACTCTCTTGATCATCTGGACTTGAAAACAGTTTTGGAAGGCAGTTGTTGCCCCTTTCTAGCATTTAGCACTCTTTGCAGATTACAGCCACTGAGTATTATAAATTCAGTTTCAGCATCCTCAGTCATACATGATCATTTCCAGGAGTGTCCCCATAGAGTTTACTGTCTGGGGATGTCAGTTTTAGGAAAGAGACCTCAAAAGCATTCAGAGGAGAAAGACTGATCTGGTTCTCTTGGCAAATGATGGCAGCGGATGGGTTGCCTGGTATCCCTTTCCATGCTTCAATCCCTTTGGATGTTGGTGTTATAGAGAAATTCATGGTCTTAATGGTTCAATGGAGTCAGATCCCATCTCAG